AGAAGGGCCATCTGTTAAGCAGACAAAACTCTTTATGGCACCAGGCATTTTGTCTCACAGTGAAAATTTGTTCATTTAATAATAAAATACAAGTTATCTATTTTATTCCTAATGATCCATGTAATATAAATTTCCATTTCATATTATGACCTGTGATTTATGGAGGTGACACCTGACATGTTTGAGAAAAAAATGTTAGGACCACTGAACTATGGTTCATATGATCTTCAGGACAACTTTTGACAAATGTCAAAAATAGTTGAAAATTTCCAACCTCAATACAATCCAAATAGGTTATACTTTTAAGCCTGAGTCCATTTAAATTCAAACATGAGAAATTTTGTTCTATTTTTTCAAAAGCACCACTGATATATAGTCCATTATTTTAATAAAGCAGAGAAAAAAATGAAAAGTTTCTTCATGTTATTGAAATGTTTGATATTATTATATATTACTTTCTGAAATATTTTAGCCTTCACTTCAGACATATTTAAGAACCCAGATAAATTTTTCCTGGCTAGAAATAAAATGCCCAGTAAAACTGGCTAAGTATATATTCCACAGCTCTCAGATTTCTTCCATTTTATACCTTCTATCCTAAATGTTTAAATTCTAGTCCAGCTCAGGATCAGTTCTAAAATACATAATTACTCAAGAATATACTTCCAGTGTTCTTTTTATTTTTCTATGATTACTGCTGTTAAAATCTGCTTTCCATGAACCTATTTATTTCACCATTTATTCATTATTTAAGCACCTACTACATGCACCTTCTTACATGTATACAAAAGATACAAAGGCAAGTGAGTAAATAATAACTTTGCTTTTAAAAATTTACATTTACTCAAAAAACAATAACAGTTCTTTAAGACTCATGCTAGGCACTCTGACAACTATTAATATTTTTTCTTAATTCAGATAATATAAATCTTTGGGAATTTGATTTGATATGGACATTCACTTTGCATGCCATAAATATACAGAAAAATAAAGAAGTCATGAAAGAATTTTCTTGGTGCCTATCATCTTTTCAGATCCCTCCCCCCACCAAAAAAAGTGATTGAGTTACCTATTCAAATGGCATCAATGCAGCATTATGTATCCTTCAGGCTATTAAGCTAAGTGAAATTTAGTTGGAAATGCTTGTTGAAAGGCTGAAACGAAAGCCTTTTGCTACCCAATGGAGTCACCAGATCTTGCTGTTGGGAGGTTTTAATTCTAGTAGACTCCAGGGGTTGGCCTTATAAGCTCCCCTAGACTTGTCTGGTTTCTTCTATCCTCAGTGTGTGTGCTTCGCCTGTATCCACTATATCTATTCTGCTGCTTTTGTTGTCTTCTGTGATGAAGTAGTTCTCTGCCACTTTCTGCTTACTACTGTCAGCATGCTTTATTTGTTCAGCATTCTGGAAAATATGTCCTATTGCTGCTGAGTTTCCGAGGACTCTTGATGTGGAAATGGTTTTTACACTGCTCATTTACCTGGAAAATAAAATTCAGCCGTATCTCTCAAAGTTTCAGGGAGAAAATTTTCAGGTGGTCAAATTTCTTAGCACTAAAGCTTCCTGAAATGGTGTTTTTGGTGAAGGGACCTAAGCTTTGTGACAGAGAGTTGGCAATGTCAGTGTTTGGGGATAAAATGGTGCAGAATGCTTCCCCATCAGATCTAAGCAGCAAGTTGACAGCTATAGATAACTAGGATACCCGAGAATATCCCCAATGACCTCACCGCAACCCCAATTATTCCACTGACCCTTTACAAAAACAGTCATTTCATGGATACCTAATTTGATCTTCATTTTTGCAATTCTTTTCCTTATAAAAGAGAAAAATGACTAAATTAAAGCATAATAAAAGAAGGAATAATCTCTCCAAATATTAATAGCAGTGAGAGTAAACCTTTATTGATGAAAGGATTGACCTAATTTCAGTTTTTCAGCAGCTCCAGACCTTACTAAGCACATGTTTGCAGTGATGGACTTTCTTAGTAAACATTGACATTTATGCTTAATTCTTGGAAAATTAGACTTCTTGATTAGGTTTCAAATAATTAAAAAATGAAATCAGAATTGTATCTTAAATCCCTAAAATAAGACCACAGATGTTTGGATACTTTCTGTTCCAAATAGATTCTGTAGCTCATCATAACATAGAGTAATTAATTTTAATTGGCTGCATAATTAACTGAATTTATAAGTGAAACTTTGCAGTTGAGGAAGAATCATTCAATAATCTACTTATTACTCAATCCTCACAATATTTGGGGGAAAAATAGGCAATTTATCATGTATAATGGGATAGGTAAACTTTTTAAGAATTAGGTTTTTAACTTACAAACAAATCTGATCATTATTTAATTCTTGATCTTAGGAAGGGTGTGCTCTATATTGTTAAAAATAAGAAATTTTTATTTTATCTTAAAAAATACTGAATGATGTTAGTCTAATAATCATTATTTTTGTCTTTTAGTTAGTAGGTGACTTAGAAAACAATAAAATGCCTGTAAATGTCACAGGCATAAAAAAAATGATGGCAAGAAAACATGAGCAAGAAAAATCTACACAAGTGGGAAACTGGTTTCTAAACCCTTGTTTTAAAACTCACTTCAGTTATCCTTTGACAGAGCCTTAAGTTGCAATGGCACATAGACTTACAAAAAAAACATCAGTTATAGATGTGTAATGCTTTAACCCCTACCTTTCATAAAACTGATCAGCATTAGTTTTATCAACATTTTGCTTATTATTTGAACACTTGTCCATCATTGTTTCATTTGCAAATTGATGATCCCCTTTTTTCTCAGATTCTTTTTCACTAGTATCTTCCTTAGAATGAAGCCTGTTTTTCTCTCCTTTGAACACTGGACGTTCATTCTATGCACAGTGGCTTGCTCATCACCTCCAGCACTACTGTTTTCTTGTCTATTCAGTCTCTCAGTGCATGAAATATTTTTTCATCTGCATTTTTTCTTGGCTTTATGGACTTCTTTAGAGCAAAATCTTCTACCTCATCTTATGGTCTTTCTGTGTGAAATGTGACAAAACTTCTCTGAACAAGAGAAGCATTGATCTTCGCAGCATTTTTCTTGTTGACTTTATTAACCTTTTCTTTCTCAGAGGAAGGCTAGTTCTTTGGAGATCTCTCTAAAAGCCACCATGGGACACAAAATATTATAATGGTGGATATATGTGATCAGTATAATTTTGGCTTCACATAATGGCATCTCGATTCAGGTTTGTCTTTATTAGCAGATATAACCTTTTGAAAAACAAAGTAGAAGTGAACATGACCAATTGACTGACAATTGGATTCCCAAAGATTTTCTAGTTTGTGACTAGAAGGACCCAAAGCCAATCAAACAAAAGTATTCAAACAACACTTCTCCTGATATGGGACTTTATGAATGTATAACTTCCTCTAAGTAAGAACAACAACAGAACTTTTATAGCAGAGCTTTCTTTATTTATAAATATCTAGTCTTCTACAGACGTTACCTGTGAGGGCCATAGTCCTTTTGCCTTTGACAGGTGCCATTTCCTTCAGGTCGGGGTGTGACCACGTCTTCTCCTTAGCCTGTAGATATGCAATTGAGTAATTGAGGCTACATAGTATGTCAGGGTTTCTCAACCTCAAGAGTACTGACACTGGGGCTGGATAATTCTTTGTTGTGGGAAATGTCATGAGCATTATAGGATGTTTAGCAGCATCTCTGGCCTCTACCCACCAGATGCCAAGAGTACTCTCCTTCCCAGTTGTAACATTCAATGTCTTCAGAAATTGCTAATTATCCCCTCGGGGTGAAATCACCTCAGACTGAGAACCATATATAATATGAATCAAACGCAGAAAAAAAATAGTACTTAGAAGGCGGAGCAGACTGAATTAATGAAACCCTATAGAGACTATAATATTAGAAGACAAATGAACTCACTATATTAAAAGAAATTCTGTAAAACCCTAGTACTGTTTGTAGATCAATCTTCGTGAATAGATTAAAGGATTTTGATAATACGTAAGTCACTCTTGACCTCTGTTTATATTGCCTTGATAAGGTTCACATATAAATCAAATAAAAATGAGAGAATATATGTGAATAGGTTTTGTAAACCAGAAAGTAGGAGACTAAAGTAAGCATTTATAAATGGAACTTTTACATTGCTTAGAACAGATGGCCCTTTTCCTAAGCAGATAAACATTCTTCTCCATCTTAGCTTCTCTGAATTAGCTTAGCAAAATCCTTTTAAATACCACATAAAAGGTAAACATTAACCTAATTCCCCCAGATTATCACAAATTCTAAAGTTATGCATTATAAATTAATGAAATTGTATGGATGTCCACAGAATCAGTCTTTTTTCTGTGGAAAGGGAGTAAAATTTGCATTGGTGTGACTTGAAAGCATGAAGTGCCATGGAAGTACAGCTCACAGATGTCAAGACAAATTGCAAATGTACTTTTAAACAATCCAAAGGGCAGTTCCGTAGGTTCAGAGCATTTCCATTTTTTGGACAGGGACCTTGAATCACAGAGGCATGTTTAGTAAATACGTTAAAAAACAAAATGAGAGATTACAGCCTCAGGGACTGTAACTTTTTTTTTTCAAGTGAAAGTACTAGGCTGATATATACATACTTTTCCCTCTGCAGGGTAAGCTTCCTTCTGCTTCCTCAGGCAAAGCCAGTTGCTGCCTCATTTATGCTTGTACAACACTTTGCACATACCCCCAAGCCTGCTATCCCTTGCAACATTTTGTTAAACATTTTTTTCCTTTTTACTTCAAATGAGCAAAGAGACTCGTTCGCCTTTGAATTCCTGGTGCTTATGTCAGAGACTAAGACATAATGATAATGATGATGGTGATACTGATGACAATGATGATGTGGTAGCCAACATTTACCAATCACCGACTTTTCTAAGTAAGTTACTTTATTAACTCAGTTGCTCCTCATGGCAACCTTTTGGAATGGATACTATTAACTCCATTTTATAATGAAGTTTGGTGATTTCCCAGGGATACATAGTTCAGAAGGAGTAAAACCAAGATTTAAACTCAATTGCCTACTTCAGTCTGTGCTCTTAACTATTACACTGTACTGTCACTCTGAAAAAAAGAAATAGAAGATTACAGCCAAGGTAGATTGTTAATACTTATTAACTATCTACCAGACAGCCAATACTACTGGAGATAAGAAAGAAGATTAAGAGAGAAGGACATAAAATGAACACAAGTTTATAGAGTGCAGAAATAAATATTCATTGACTAAAAATTAGAATTACCATGGAAGGCAGGAGAGAAAGAGAGAGAAAAATGAAGTCTAATTTTGAAAGCATATATCCAAATTAGTCAAATAAGAGAGTTTAACAAGTTGCTTTTAAGATAATTTGTAACTTTGTCTTCCAAAGCTTCTCTTTTGAAATGAAAACTCCTTGTGGATAGCCATTATGCTTCTACATTTATTCAGGATGGTGCAAACACAATGGTAAAAGCATAGGTAGACTTAATAATAAAAACTGGTTATGTTTCAGTCAATTTCAATCCATCAAAATATATAAAATTGAGAATTTGATTGTAAGACTGTAGAGAGATGATAGATCAGCACTTGCCTCTAAGGTCATCTGGAGTGTTGGTGGCAAATGTCCACAAACTGGGCCAACATTCTTTGGGTACAGCAATCTGATTTGAGCAACAGGAGAAATTATTGATCCTGTGGAGTATAAGAAACTAGCTTCCAAACGAGGCTATTTTTTTCTTCGCCAATCACATATCACATATATTTTACCATTTAAATAATGTAAGGTCTTTATTCATTGCCATGGGCTATTATATTTTCATTTCCCTATGTAATACTGACATCTAGAGGAACTTTGAACTGAGGAGATTCCAAAAAATGGAAGTTGTATTTCTCCTTTTCTGTTTCTGGACAACTTCAATATGAAGAGTTTTTACTTTGTGTTTCTAAATTATGTGCAGAAGTTGCTGAAACAGGAAGCACAAGTCCCTGAGTACGTCTTGTTAGTTTTCAAAAACTGAACTTGTTTTCTACTGATTAAAGAGAACAAGACAGTGCTGTTAAGCATGATGTTCCTAAAAGGATTTCTATCACCCTCTGTTAATTGATAAAAATCATGTCAGACATTGTTTCCTCTGCTAAATTTATACCAATGACTGAGACCAGTGGGAGAGCCTCAGTTCACTAAATTCACTCATTATTTATTTGCTTAGTAAATACTGATATATTTGCATATGGATGGGATTCTTTTTGTAACCTTTTACCCATTCTTTTTATAATAATATATCGGTGAATTTAGAATGACATAGGGAAGAAAAGGAACTTGGCCCAAATGCCCAAGTATTCAAAACATGGTTCTGCTCCCTGCACTCTGTCCTCAGTGGGGTGTATGTACCCAGAGAGTGTCCAAAGTTGTCTTCAGAGAGTGTGAAGGGAATGATAGAATTGTTCTCTACACCTCGGTGCCCCCAGCACCACACAGTAGGTCAGGGTTCTAAAAGTGCTTGATGAACCCATGTGCAATGGAGGGAAGAAGTGCTTTCAAAACTGGTGCTCTCATCGTGGGGCCGTTCTTTCATCAGACTGCATTATGGAAAAGCCAGACTATCCTGCCACCATTGGAAATGCATCCCTGTTACTGACTCTCATATTCTTTGTATCACTTAACTGGTATTAAGTGATATCCACAGCTCTTCATTTGGGAATTGTAATTGCTACAGAAAATTGTTTTCTTCACATCACAATGGGACATGACTAGAGTAACAACATATCCTGAGTGGAGGGCTTTTCATATTGCTGCTTATGGAGATGTCAAGATGAACACTTCTTGGTAATTTTAACCTAATTCCTAGAAGTATACAAACAAAATTATAACAATTTATAATGACTTTGTTAATTTTTGATTAGATTTCTCATAGGGGAGAGGAAAATATAGAGCCTAAAAGAATACAAAGAGAGAAATTTTCAGAAAATAAATATTAAAACTACATTTCCTTGCAAAGAAGATAATTTTAGAGATCACTTGCAAAATAAATCTATTTCTTTTCATCCACAGGGCACACTCAAATTCTCTGTGTTAAGTGAAAAAAAAAATGAAAAACTCCCTAAAGACCCTAAAAACTGATAAAAGGAAATCTCACAAAGCATAACCTGTTTTGTGGCCTGTGGGGATTGGAATGGAATAGACAGAACAGGATCTGACTGACTGACCAAATCTAGAAAGAGAAAGTGTCAACCTTGACCTCAGACCTTAGTAAGTAGATTCTCCTCATATCGCTGAAAACATCAAGGATAATCAGTCACCCGAGAAAATAACCCTGCCAGGAAAATTAAAGCCTTTTGATGCATCCACTATTACATGGACAGTGCTTCATTCAGAAATCAAGTAAACAGGATTCCTCAAGGATATATATATTAAGAAAGGGCCTGAAATTAAAGGTTCTGGTTCAGGAAAGTCTAATTGGACCAACTGCCAAGTGAAGATACATGGGTAATTTTACTTTTATTCAATTATAATATATAGCAAGCAATACCATAAACAAAACAAACAAACAAAAAAAGTGTGCTACCACATTTAATAGCCATGTTCAGCAAAAAAACAAACAAACAAACAAACAAAAAACCCCTGATTGAACAACACTGGTCAAATGGACTCTATCAGGTTATTCCTAATTGACTACAGACTTTTCTTAATTGAAATACATTTTCAGGTTTTCTTGTCCCAACGACCCCGTTGTGATAACCTGTGTGAGCCATGTATTCTCTCTGAGCAAGTATGTGAAGACCAAGGGTTAAGGAGTGGTCAACTCCAAATACCTGCCCTGCCACTGTCAGGGTCCAGGCTATGGTCTAAGCGACAAATTATTAAAACTATTTGTTCCATCTGGCCTGCCTTTGTTGATTTTAAAAAGAACAAGTTAAAAATAACTTGGAATAAATTAAGAATATTCACTTAAATATTTAGTCACATTAGTTACTTTGATTATATAGGTTTTATTTTTTTCTTATCTTATGCCTATTGGATGAGCTTACCTAAGACATCTAATGGGTCTATACTTTTTTATTTCCTTCTCACTACCACCTTTCCTGTCCTCCTCAAAGAAAAAATGCTGAGCCCTTTGACTTGTAACTGCTCATTTTTCCCACTCAAACTGCCAATGTGACTTTGCTCTGCCTGCAGGCCTGTGTGCCATGCCCCACCTTCCTGGTCCAGACTCTCCTTTACGCTAGAGAAGGGGTTCTCAACCACCTGGGGAGGAGTTGAGAACTACTGATATGTAGATCCTGCCCCTCCCCTAAAAAGGTTGTGGGGCTGGGCACTGGTATACCACCCTCCCAAAACACACACACCCCAGCGACTCTCATGTACTGCAAGTTATGGAAGCCACTGTTTGCCATTATTTTTTTTTTTTTCCAGTCCTTACCACCCAGGCTGCTCTGTTCTGATCTCAGTCCCTGTTTCCTCACCCTTATCAGCAATGGTCTTTGGTCCTCTCCCAGAAGGATTATCCAGCACATCACTGCCTCTTCCTTACTCACTACAGAGGGACACATGTGGAATGA